GCATCCATCCAAAAAGAATGGATTCTAAAAAGCCAGTACAAGCAGCAGAGACAAACCCTGGTGCCACTGCCAGTGGCTCCTCAGTCTGCCCCAGCCATGCAACTGTCACCCACATTCAGTGGGACTAGCTTGGACCTATACTTGTCCCTTCCCCATCCGTCTGGAGTTGGTGAGCTCCCATTAGCTCAGTAGACTGTTTCAGTGGGTGTCCCCATCATAGTCTTGGCCTCTTTGCTCATATTCTCACTCCTCCCACTCTAACTGGGTTTTGGGAGCTCAGCCCAGTCCAGCAATACTTTTTGTCTCTTAAGATTCCCTTTAGTTTTTTTTGTTGTTGTTTTTGTTCTTTGGTTTTGGGGAGCTTTTGGCGGGGTTGGCTTTTTGAGACAGGGTTTCTCTGTAGCTTTGGAGCCTGTCCTGGAGCTCACCCTATAGACCAGGTTGACATCGAATTCACAGAGATCCACCTGTCTCTGCTTCCTGAGTGCTAGGATTAAAGGCGTGCACACCACCACCCAGCAAGTTTTTGTTGATGTTGTTGTTTTTGTTTGAGACAGGGTTTCTTCCCTTTAGTTTTCTAAAGAAGTTGGCAATGCTGTTGAAATGATGAGGTGTTGATCTGACTTATTGAGTAACTCTGCACTCGTAGGCTTTCTTAGCACATATTACACACAACACAGTTGTCTAGTCACGTGTTATTCCATGACCATTCAGCTTTCAGTGTGTAGGTGGAGAAAAAAAAAAAAAAAACTCAAAATCAGGAAACCTGTTAGGAAAGTGTTCCGGGAGTTTACACAGAATAACTGGAATGAAGGTTGTAGTTAGCAGAGACAGAAATAAGTCTGAGAGATTCTTAGTAAGTAAAATCAACTACATTTCAGGCAACCAGAGATCTAGAGGCGCAGGAGTGATGGTTCAGTGGTTAAGAATACTTGATAGTCTTCCAGAGGACCTGGGCTGGAGAGCCAGCATCCATACAGGACCTCACAACCGTTTGTACTCTAGTTCTGGGGAATCCCCTAACTTTTTTTGACCTGGAAGGGCACAAGGCACCCACGTGGTACCAGGACACACAAGCAGGCAAAACTACCAAACACATACTTTTCTTCTTGAAATGAGAGATCTAGAGTGGTTTGTATGGAAGTCAGGAACTCGAAGAAGAAATCTGAATTTCATACATTTGGGGGTTCTATGAAGAACTAGTGACTGAATTCACAACACAGATGGTAACAGACAGGGGCTATGTGTTATGGGCAGCCAGAATGACGGTGGACGGAAACGAGAGACCTGAGATGGCTCCGTGGGCAGACTGCTGCGCAGGCATCAGGAGGACCTGAATTCTGATCGCCAAGCACCTTTATGAAAAGCTGGATATATACAAGTCAGTTGTAACCAGCGCCATTAATCTCAGGGAGCACAGCAGGAGCTAATCTAGGCAATTGTGAGCTCCAGGTTCACTGAGACCTTGTCTCAAAAATGAAGGTGGAGGGTGATAGAGGACTATTTCCTCACATGCACTCTCTAGCACACACAAACGCAAAGACGGGAAAGAGAGGAAGTAGCGGGCGAGAAGAGGGTCCTAGGATCCAACTAGCAACATTTATCTATAGCTTAAGGATTTAAAGGAAGCGGAGCAATCAACAGACGCCAAAATTCGTTTTTAAAGTCCTTGAAGACAGAAGCACCCAGCACTTTGAGGTCTGGATATGTGTCGGTTTCTTTAGGAGCGGGTATTTCTGCGCGTCGTCCTCCCCTGTCTTTTGCGTCATCAACCTCTCTTCCCACGGAAATTCACGGTCTTTCGATATTGCTATATATAACTCCTTCCGGGTCGGGGGAAGCGGGGTGGCGCACACCTAGTCCTGCAATTCGCGTGAGCCTAGGCGCGTAGTCGCGTCCGGCTTTAAATCTCGCGCAGGCGTGTTGGTTTCCCCGTCGCTATGCGGGTGCTCGTGGGTGAGGGAGGGCTGGGAGAGTCGCGGGCGGGCTTAGGCTGAGCCCGAGAGCTGGGAGACCAGCCCCACCGGGCGCCGTCTTCTAAGCAAGCGACCTAGCCTTGGCTTCCCAGCCCCAAAAGCCGAATCCCTGAAACCCCGTGTCCTGTGTCACGTCTGCGGGGCGGGGGGTGGGGTGGGAGGAGAGGCCTGGTGTCCGAGGGGAGGGCACCAAAAAGGGCAGCCCGGCCTGCCGCCTGCCTCCTCGCGGAGTATAAACAGTTTGTGCTCTCCCATCAGGTGGCGGGACGGGATTCATCGGGACAGCCCTAACCCAGCTGCTTAAGGCCAGGGGCCACAACGTTACGTTGGTCTCCCGCCAGCCTGGGCCGGGTCGAATCACGTGGGTACGTCCAGCCTCAGCAAGGTGGGTGGGAGGGCAGTTTGCGCGCCGCCGGGAACTGTACCAGCAGGTCCTGTGCTTTCGCCAACAGAGTGAGCTCATTAGGTCGGGGCTGCCCCTCTGCGATGTTGTCATCAACCTGGCTGGAGAGAACATCCTCAACCCTCTGCGAAGGTCAGCTGGGCCATAAAGCAGTGTCACTAGCACAGGGACTCCCGTGAGCAATGCGTGGCAGACATACACTGTGCAAAGTGTGTCTTAACGTTGGAGCCGGTTCTATATCGGTGTCTAAGAAAGCCCATTGTTGTGGCTAAAGAGACATAGTCCATGCCTATAATGGAGGGGGGAACAGTCTTGGCTGCCTTAGCCACCCTGAGTTATGCATTAAGATAGATAAAGGACAAGTGGCTGGCTGGGAGAATAGGCAGGTGTATAGGAGATGAGCAGTGAGGATATGGGTTGGATGTGTGTCGGTACTTCTGACCTTTTCATCTTCTCTGCAGATGGAACGAGGCCTTCCAAAAAGAGGTTCTTACCAGCCGCCTGGATACCACCCACTTGCTAGCTAACGCCATCACCAACGCCACACACCCACCGCAGGCTTGGATACTAGTCACAGGTGTAGGTACGTCCCGAAATCACCAACCTCTTATATTAACAGGAAGAACGGAGAAGGCAGCTCAGAGCCCTTGGGGCTAGTTAGACCCCACTGCAGCACCCCAGAGGAGTATCCTTTCCAGTGTAGCTTCTAGACCCTCCAGCCACGGCAGGTTTCTCCTAACCTCTGGATTTTCACTCCGTGGTATTCATGGGTGTGAACTGAGTGGGGAGTGTACTTGGCTAGAGACTCAAAGCTAGGAGCCCCTGGTGGAAGCCCGCAGAGAAAGGGATGGATGGTACCAGTCCTAGTGCTGAAGAAGTCGTCCTACTGCCAGATACCTTGCTTTTTGGTCCACAGTTCTTTATAAACAAGTCCCCTATTAGTGTGTCACCCTTGAGACAAAATAATTGCAAACAATTAAAATGAAATACTCTACTATTTTATACATTTAATCCTTGCAAAACCTTTTGAGGTAGGTACAGTTACTCCCATATTGAAGATGCAAATTGTTCATACAGAGAGTAACTTGCCAGAAAGTCACAGATGTCAAGAATGGCGGAGCTCAAGCAGCCGGGCACCCAGGTTTCTGTTCCTAAGCACTACAAGCTAGCAGCCTCTGGGTATAGCCCTGTAGCCAAAGGCTAGACTGGCAGGCAGGAACACAGGAAGCAGCTCAAGGGGAAAACAGTCATGGTTCTTTCTTCTGTGGAGATCCAACGGATCAAAGAGAATGAGGCTAGGGAACCTTCAATGCAGAAGGCCCAGCAGGATAGGGCCAGCCAGAGCAATGAGTGCTTTCCCACAACAGCTTACTACCAGCCAAGCCTGACTGAGGTGTATGATGAAGACAGTCCAGGAGGAGATTTTGACTTTTTCTCCAACTTGGTAACCAAATGGGAAGCAGCAGCCAGGCTGCCTGGGGAGTCTACACGCCAGGTCGTGGTACGTTCAGGTGAGGACCAAGGGCCTGGGAATCTGGCAAAGTGGAAGATTTCCGGGCCGAGGTGGGCTGAGGTTACAGTGAGAGAACACCATCAGTCTAGCTAACCTACAGAGGGAAAGTCCCAAGAACATCGACAACCCTCAACTCTGTCCTGTCCAAACCCACATGGGAAGAAAGTGAGGAAGGGAAAAGAGAAGTTAGAGTAACACAGATTTTCAAGGCTAAGCAACCTTCCTGTACCACCCCTCTTGCCTGCTTTAGGGGTTGTGCTGGGCCGTGGGGGTGGTGCCATCAGCCACATGCTCCTGCCCTTCCGCCTGGGCCTAGGAGGCCCCATTGGTTCAGGTCACCAGTTCTTCCCCTGGATACACATCGGTGATCTGGCAGGAATTCTGACTCATGCCCTTGAAGAGGACCATGTCCAAGGAGTCCTGAACGGAGTGGCTCCAGCATCTACCACAACCAATGCTGAGTTTGCCCAGGCCTTGGGTGCTGCCCTGGGCCGCCCAGCCTTCATACCTGTCCCCAGCACGGTGGTACAAGCAGTCTTCGGACGAGAGCGTGCCACCATGCTGCTGGAAGGCCAGAAAGTGGTCCCACGGCGGACACTGGCCACTGGCTACCAGTATTCCTTCCCAGAGTTAGAGGCTGCCTTGAAAGATGTTGTAGCCTAAGTAGAGAAGGACCCTCAAGGCAGGAGCTGAGGCCTGTTCTTCCTCAACTATGAATTGGCTCAGGTGATGCCTGTATTTGAGATAAGAAGCCATCTGGGTCTTAGAACCTCTCCCCCTCACTTTCTTCCCGAGTTGTGTTCCCCCATCTGAGAACATCAGTCAAGGTTGTAATCTCATCCTAACCTCAACCTCTTCAACTTCTTGTCGTTTCTGTGTGTCGCACCGTCGCCCCAGTTCTCCTATATACTGTGTAGAGAAAGTTCAGCAGTATGGCAATAAAGTCTATCACTAGCTTCAGCTGTCTCTTTGGCTTAGATTCTCCTAGAATTTATCTTAAGGACTATTACCTACATGGCTCTTCTTCCTAAATGAGGTTCTGAATGTTGTAATACTCAGTCTCTCTCCTCACCCTTCCCTTTCTTGGTCTCTGCCCAAATGCGCTGGTGAGACATGAGGTATGACAGAGATTAAAGACAGTACACATAAGGACCTATTTCCAGTGAGTTCTGGTGCTGCCCTAGCCACCTGTTCAGAGGATGCCAGCAAAAATGGGGGAAAAAAAAAAAAAGAAAGGCCTGTAGGTTAGCCTCAGTGTTTCACCCAAATGGCAGGGAATTCATCTAGCAAACACATGCAGATCCCACTTCATACTGCGGCAACACAAGCCAGTGTATCTCTATAAGCTAGGATCTGTCTCTCATCTGCTTGGGAACACTTCAGTCTCCTTCCTGGGCCCTCAGCATAAAAAGGAAACTAATTCTGGCCTTCTGTACACCCACCATCACGGCAAGCAAAAAGAGCAAGAAACCAGTCGCAAACTTAAAAAGCTCTTCTACCAGCAACCAGTTCAGACCATTCTCTTTGTTTCCTGGGCACTGAAAGGAGTCACTGTCTTTTCCCTGATCACCTTGTCTCTAATACGGCTGTCCCAGCCTGAGTCAATCTAGTGTAGAGATGAAAGTGGCTCAAGGAAACAGACAGACACGGACCTAGGGACCCTCTCCTCGATCACTGAGCTCCACCCACAGTCACCTCTCTGTGTCACTAGTAAGTCAGCCAGAAAAGAAGCTAATTCAGGGACTTGCTACAACTCCCAAACAGAACTGAACCCAGGGAACCTGCCTTACCTCTTTATCTGAGAAGTTGACTAGCTCTGAGTTATTCCTGGGGTAGGTAAAAATAACAGAAGCTTGTTAGGCTACACTAGAGAAAGAAATGGAAAACTATACATCCAGGTCAGGAATGTGCCTCCTTGCAGGGAGTAAGTCCCTGGCACAGAAATCAAGCAGATAGCAAACAATGACTTGTGGGAATTAGGATGTAAACACTTGGCCATGATAGGTCAGTGGGGGTCATCTGTGACTAACCAGGTGTCTGTCAACTGATGTTTCAGCTTCCACTCCTAGACAATAGTTTCTTAACCATACACAGGAAGCAGTACTGTGTCTTACCAAATGCAACCCACGTCTTCCATAAAGGAAATAATAGATCCCACTAACATTGTCACTGCAAAGCATGGCTTCATGAATTTGGTGAACACATTCAACACCAGAGAGAGGATTTAACCGGGGCCTTTCTGACACATTTGTGAATCTGTAAACACATTTGAATGCAACTGACCAGCTGCCTCTTCTGGGGACCCTGAGAGTTTTTAGGGAATGCAGCAATCAACCCTAACAACTATTTTGTTAATGTGTGTTTGGAAGGTTGCTGGGAAAGGGTGCAGCCATTACAGGCGTGTTCTACTGAAAACCGAGTTAAAACTGAGGGTGTGGACTGTGGACATCTCTGAACGAGAAGTTTTGGTTAGGGAGCCTAAGCAGACACAGGCAGACACACCTGAGACATGATCCCAGATCACTTCTTCACAGGAGCCTTCCTCTGTGTACCCAGTTCTCTCAAAGGTTATTTTTTATGCCTGTTGTACAGACATAAGTAAAAGTCAAGCGACTCTGCCAAGGTCGCAGGCAGGCACAACCCAGACTGGGAGCCTTCTGGGTCTCTGCTGTCCCACTGCAATAGCCCGCATAGCACTGTGGCCCTGCAGAACCCAGACAGCTCAGCCTACACTAGCCATTCAGAAGAGCAGCCTGAGGATGCTTTCTTCCTCAGCTTAGCCTTTTGCTGCCTCCAGCTTACCCTAGCCTCCAACTCAGCTTAACCTGGCCAACAGTCTCAGCCTTCAGGAGGAGCCTCTACAGCCTGCAAAGACCAGGATGAGTAGTTAAATCTGATCAAAGTCTCCTTAGAGCTGGCTGCGGTCCTGACTCAGGTCGAGTCACCTTATGGACCCCAGGCAAGAGTGTTCCCACACTCAAATCTCTTCTCTGGTGCTTCCTCCAGCCAAAGCACCATCTTAGAGGGAGTCTGGGACACAATCTGAGCAGCAGAGGACTGTAAGGAAGGGGCTGGGCTGGGGTCGCTAAGTCTGATAGGGCAGCAGCTATGCAGGCAAGTAAGGCTCAAAAGTTGAGACTCAGCAGGGCCTCAGAGAGTTGATTAATATCCCGGCAGTATGGTTCCCGCTGCAGGATGAAGTCCACCTTGTGGTCCTGACCCCAAAACACCTCCAGCAGCTGGCGCCGGAGCCGCTCTGTCTCCCTGGTCTTCCGAATGCCACCTTTTTCCTCTTCCTTCCCTTGCTTCGCCTGCTGCTGATTCCCATGGTCTTTGGGGCCTCTGGAGGGTTGCTGAGCCTTAGAAGAGCCCTGTTTCCTGGAGAAAAGCAGAATAAGAAGCAATAAGCACTCTGTAGAAAAGTTGGGCCTCTGGGAGCCTCAGGCAAACTGACAATTCCCAACTTTGGAGATGAATTCGTGAAGTTCCCTATGCTGGCCACTGAGCGGCAGTATCCCACTAGGAATGCAGTGTCCTGGTTAATCACTTGCTTATGAGCCAATAGAGGGTATGGGGGTGCAATTGGCTATCATTACATGCAATCATCTCCCAAATCCTTCCATCAAACACACAGACCAAAAGAGAAAGAAAGAAACATTTCTCTTCCTAGTACAAAGTCTGTATCAGGAGTCCCTGGGGGGACTTTAAAGGCCAGTCCCACAAACTCGAGACTACTGCAGTATAAAGCTGGCCCAAACTGTGGCACTCCCATGCAAGCCTCCAGTCCTTCAGAGAGGAGCATGCTGATCAACAGGCTGCGGGCAGAAGCAAGGGCATTACCTGACTGTCTTCTTCAGGAACTCATCCAGGGTGGGGCCATTTCGCCCCAGAGGGTCGTCTGGGACCATGAAGAGGTTTCCCACAAAGGTGAAGGGCAGCAGGCTGGATGCAGAAAGAGGGAGTCACAGGAACGATCTCGCCAACATCACCCAGACCAAAACCACCCGGAGCTACTGGCTAGCATCCTCAGGCATCTTCAAGCCCTTGCCCAGGATTCTCACCCAGTGGCCAGAGAAGAGCTGCTTTAGAGAAAGGTCTGAGTCGCTGCCCTATTCTCACCGCTCTCTGATGATGGCCATCCACTTGTCTGACTCCTCTGCCAGATCTCGGAACTGGTCATTGGAGACAATGATCCCATCGGTCTCTTCCGCCAGCTTCACCATGAACCTGTCTCGAGGAAACACAGAAACCATTCTGGGATTCCCCAAGGATCAATCCCACGGTATGCTATCAATGCCTGTGACCCAATTCTGGTGGTGGAGGTCAGTCTCCAAACTCGTTTAAATAAAGAAGGGTGAGGGAGGCTTCTTGGGAATTGAGGCCAGACCCTCATGCATCCTAAGCAAGTGCTTTACCACTGAGATTATAGGTAGGCTGGTAGGTAGACAGACAGACAGACTGACCGAGGCAATGGGGGTCAGAGACAGGCAGGGCATGGTGGTGCACACCTTTAATCCCAGCACTCAGGAGGCAGAGACAGGCAAATCTCTTGCGTTCTAAGGCAGCCTGGTTTATATAGTTTCAAGACAGTCACATAGAGAGATTCTATCTCAAAAACAAACAAATCTTGCTAAGTTAGTCTAGCCTTGAATTCTCTCTGTAGCCCCAGCAGGCTTTGAACTCTAAATCTTCCTGCCACAGTTCTGATTACAGTGTGTGCCTCCACATTCAGCCCCTCCCCTCACTTCACACAGGTGACTAACTGGGCGTAAGAACCAAGGTCAGAGAACAAACATCGGTGAATCCAAGATGCTGTCCCGCTGGGAGCCCATTCACCACACCCATCACTGGAGACTGTGTCTGAAACTGAGCTAGGGACAACTTTCTCCCGCCCCACCACCAGTTGTTCACAATCCCCCATTCCTCCACGCTGCCTTACTTTCCAGGGCCACAATCGCCTTAATAATTCAGACATTAAAACTGGGACTCCTGAGCCGGGCGTTAGTGGCGCACACCTTTAATCCCAGCACTCGGGAGGCAGAGGCAGGCGGATCTTTGTGAGTTCGAGGCCAGGCTGGTCTACAGAGCTAGTTCCAGGACAGGCTCAAAAGCTACAGAGAAACCCTGTCTCAAAAAAAAAAAAAAAAACTGGGACTCCTGCCAGCCTTCCACCAGCTCACCTGCCTCACCTCACCATCCTCCATCCCTCAGTCTCACCTGCTCCTCCCCTACACAGAGCTCTTCCACACCTGCCCTTCATCCCAACCAGTCCAAGTGAGAGGCCTTGAGTAAGTCCACACATCCAGGCTGCACTAAGGAACTTACTTTCTGGGAACAGGCAGTAGAGCTTGCTTAGTAGAGTGCTCACCTAGCTGCATGGGGCCCTACTTTCAATCTCCAGCACCACATAGACTGGGCATGGTAACACACACCAGTAATCTGGCATTCAGGAGGTAGGGACAGGAGAATCAGAAGTTCAAGGTCATCCTTGGTTACTCAGTGAGCCTTGAGACCAACCTGGCTACAAGAGACCTTACCTCAAAAAAAGAAAAATAAAATTTTCAAGTTTTTGTTCTTTATTAATAATTTACTTATTTTTATTTTATGTGCATTTGTGGTTCTGCCTGTGTGAGGCTGTCAGATCTTGGGAATTACAGACAGTTATGAGCTGCCATCTGAATGGTGGGAATTGAAGCCAGGTCCTCTGGAAGAGCAGTCAGCGCCCTTAATCACTGAGCCATCTCTCCTGCCCCTCAAGGTTTTTTTTTTTTTTAAGATTTTTTTTTATGCATACAGATGCTTTGTCTGCATGTTGCAGACCAGAAAAGGGCATCAGATTGTGAGCTGCAGTGTAGTTGCTGGGAATTAAACTTAGGACTTCTGCAAGAGTAACCAGTGCTCTTAACTGCTGAGCCATCTCTCCAACCCCAAAATTATAAAGCTTTTTAAAGACACCTGAGGCCTACTTTAGTAATTTTCTTGTTTTATTTGTAAGATATGAACTCACATAGCCCAGGACTGCCTCCAATTTACTGAATAGCTGAAGCTAACCTCAAGCTTCCTGCCTTTACCTCTACCTTCCAAGTATTGACATTAAAGGCAACTGCCATCATGGCCAGGTCTCTTTTATTTTTAATAATTCTCCATCCACAGAGTGAGATTCACAAGGTGGTAGGCAGTGAACTAACTTTTGAGAGGTTTAAAACCAAAGAGATCAGTCCATCCCACATCCTTCTCAGTCCCAAATCCATCCTTCCTGGAAAATCCTAGTCACAACACGGCTCTCTTCCCTGAGCTCCTACAGTGCCTGATTTACGGGATTATTTTTTAATCAATTTTCACTTTGGGGCCCTCTGAAGCCAAGGACCAACTGTTGCCCCAGAGTTCTTTCTCCAAGTCATGCACCTAGTCTGAAGTGAGCAGTCAGTATCTGAAAGGCATTGCGGTCCAGAGAAGACAGGGAATCGGGATTAGGTACAACAGGTGTGTGGGAAACAAGCTTAGGGGTTGCTATGCTACCTCAAGTCCACAAAGCGCGCTCTCTAGTCAAGGGCTTCCTGGCTCTGGGGTTAGGCTACCTCTTGCTCTGCAGAACTCACTCACCAGGCCATGTTGGGTTCCACTGTGCTGATCTGTACCACAATGAAGAGAAATTCCAAGTCTATATCATGTAAGTTACTGCCTTAGATAAACCCAAAATCTAGGCCTTAAAACAAAATAACTGCACTTGGGAGGCAGAAGCAGGAGGATCACCCACAAGCTCAAAGCCAACCTGGCCTACAGAAGAAGTACCAGTTCTAGCCCAGGGCTACAAAGTGAGATCCTGTCCAAAACAGAAACAGTAGCATCAGAAGAGTCCTCCTTGGTTTTTGTCAACTTGATACAATATACAGTTATCTGGGAAGGCGACCCCCAAGTGAGAAAATGGCTCCATTAGATTGCCTATAGGCAATGTGTGAGACATTTTCTTCATTGCTGATTGATAGAGCCCGGGCCACTGGAAGCAGGGCCACCTCTGAGCAGGTGGCCCTGGGTGGTATTAGAAAGCGAGCTGAGCAAGCCAGTAAGTCGTATTCCTGTGGTCTCTGCACCAATGCCTGCCTCCAGGTCCCTGTCCTGACTTCCAATCAGAGAGGGACTATTACCTGAGAGTTTTATGACAAAATAAACCCTCTCCTCCAAGTTTCTTTGGATCATGGTATTTATCACCACAACAGAACCAAAGAAGAAAGTGAAGTACCTTTTGTAAAATACTACTTACTTCTAGAGAGTAAAAGTTACATATCTGAAACGATAAAACACACAATAACTATGCTGGCTAGTTCTTAATTGTCAACTTAATCTAGAATCACCTGAGAAGAGTTCACAGTGAGGAACTTTCTGGATCTGGTGGTCTGTAAGAACGTGGTTAATTAGAGTGGAAAGACCCAACCACTGTGAGCAGCACCATTCCCTAGGCAGGGGATTCTGGATCCCATGAGCAGCAGAAGCAAACTGAACACTACCATTTATGCAGTCATTGCTCTCTGTTCCTGACTATGGATGTGATGTGACCAGCTCCCATAAGATCCGGCTGCTGTGACTTCCCAGCTATAATGGACTGTAACCTGAAACAGGGAGCTAAAATAAACACTCCTTAAAGTTGCTTTTTTGGACTTTTCTGGACTCTCTGGACACCAGGCATGCACAAAGTGCACATCCATACATACAGGCAAAACACTACTACACGTAAGATTTTTTTATTTTACACAAAATAGAAAGGTTTAAAATAGCTAATCAGTTTTAAAGTGTGTATATTTCCACACCGTGTGTGCACAAGTGTAGCAGGAGTATACCCTACGTTTTCTGTCTAGCCTATATGGTAACCTCTGTCAAGGGGGTTGACCACTTACCCTCTGTATCTACCTCTGTAAATAGAGATAAATACAGGCATCACCCTTCTCCTGTCTTTCTTCTTTTTAGTTTATTGAGACAGGGTCTCACTTTGTAGTCCAGGCCAGCCTGGAATATACTTTGTAGCTCATGATGGTCTCAAATTCGTGGGGATTATCCTACCTCGGTCTCTCAAGTGCTGGGATTACAGGCGTGACTACCACACCCAGCTTCATGCAACACTTAATTGGGCCCATGCAAATGTTAAGAGGGTACGTCACTGGACTCTTGCTTAGCACCAGGAATGAGGTGAGCACATACCTTATCTTCTTTTGATATTCACAAGGAGGGTGAATGAATGGAGAAGGACCCTGAGACAAAGAGGTTGATTCACTAAGAGGTGGGGCCAAGGCCATAGAGAAAGCAGATCACTACTGAAGCCTGGAGCTCTAATTCTGACATTCTGTTCCATTCTGAGACTGGTGGTCTCTCACGGAACTGTGTTCTAGGCAGTCCTAGTATTCAAAGATTGTGTTTCTGCATCTTATTTATTTTGAAGATTTTCCCAGAATGTTCAAGGAATTTCTCTACATATTTGGAAACTCTGCCAGCCATTCATGTCATCAGCCTTCCCGGCTCTCCGTTACAGAGTATTTTCTAGACAGTAAAGCACTTTCTATAAATACAAGGTGAACGATGAGCAGGCCAACACAGTTGTCCACAGTCCCTCTCGTGTCCCCTGCAGAGCTGACTTACCTACCCCATCATATGTCCCACGGAAACTAACTCCACTACTGAGGCTGGAAGACAGAGGTCAGGAGCATCTCTCTCCTGCTCAAAGTCCCACTAGACTCCTTCAATAAAACTGGGGGCCAGGGGAGGAGCAAATACCTGTCATCATAGGAAGAAATCCTCTTGCCATCCATGACTCGTGAGGGTGTCAGGGAAAGCAGACTCAGGGAGTACAGCTTCTGCAGGAAGTGACTCTCTACAGAACAAGATACAACAGGGTTCTCCTCAAGATAGACATGGCCTGACCCAGGACACAGATGGTCAGACCCAACTTACCTCTGACCTTGGAATCCTTACTGAAGCGCCACTGAGGCACAAAGACAGTTATGTCACGATGCCCACGGTCCCAGAAGTACTGCACAGCAAGAGCAATGCCCCGGCTTGAGAAGTAATGCTGCAGGCCATGCCTGCAACGGAGAGGGTCAACGCTCAGGACCCGCAGGAGGCTGCATGACCAGCCCCTCGGCAGATGTCTCCAGGACAGACCCCTCCTCAGAGCTCAACCCCACCAGCTACTTACACCATGGCCACGTTGCTGCCGTCAATGACGATATGACGGAGGTCTGGCTGGCCGGGCACATTAGCAAGGCACAGGGTGAAAGGGTCCTGTAAGGCTTCCTGGAAACGCTGTGTGCCAGTCACCAAGTTGCCCCCTCGAGCGCCTCGTTTAGACCCTCGACCTCGAGCCCCTGCCTGTTGCTTGTCTCCCCTGTCTCCCCGATCTCGGTCTCCACAGGGCCACGGGGGTTCCGGCGCAGGTGGAGGGCTAGGTACTCTGGGAGGTGACGTGCTCCCATTATGGAGCCGCTGGAGGAGAGAGGCTCCGCGAGTTTGAGCTGCCCTCTGAGAGGGCACATGGGCACCAGAAGAGTCACCCTGCATACTGAACCCTCCTCTTTGCTGAGGAACCTCCTCCTTCCCCAAGGCCTTTCCCTTCAATGGTGCCTCTGCTCCTCCACCTGCTGGTTGTGACTTGAAAGCCGCTCCTCTCTCCCAGATCTCTTCCCCAGAGGGCTCCTTCCTCCCTGAATGTGTGTCCCTGACACCATCCTGTTTACTTCCCTGCTTCTCCGTAGTAAGTCTTTCTCCTCTTGCTGCCCTTGAATCTCCCGACCCCACCACTCCAGTACCCTGGGACTCCCCACCTTGACTCAAGGGAGCCCTAACTCCCTGGAACTGAGCACTCAAGAGGCCTCCACTCCCCTGCCGCTCATGAGAGGGCAGCACCTGTGGAGCCTGCTCTCCGGATGCCTCCTGTGCCAGGCTTAGGAGCTCCTCCTGGACAGCCAGGGGCAGCTGCAGCAGGGCCTCCGTGTAGGCATCCTCCCTAGTCTGCAGCAGAGCAGAGAAGTCTCTCAGCACTCCAGCACTGGCAGGGGCTCCGGGACAAGACTGCAGCTGAAGATCCCAGCTCAGCCGCTGCACTAACTCCTCCACCCGGCTCTGAGCCATCACAAATGCCTCTGTTAGGCCACTGATCATCAGAGAGCCAGGAACCAGGGGCACCAGGTGGGCAGATGTGCTCCAAGCCAGGCAGTCAAGGAAGAAGCCGTGGGCTCCCCGAAAGACGCAGTGCAGTCTGGGTGGGTAGCGGATTTCACTCTGCAGTTCTGGGCTGCAGAGCCCCTTCAGGTATTCCTAGATGGGAAGGTCAGAGAGGAACCTTCTAGAAGCCATCTCCTTCAGGTTCATTGTTCTCCCTGAGCTCCAAGCGCATGCATCATCCAAGTAGATACTGTTATTATTCCCATTGTAGACACAAGGATATTTAAGACTAGATCAGAAGGCTGTCGAGTAGTGAAGCTGTATCAGAACTCCTCCTCGAGGCCAAAGAAAGAAAGGTGGCCACCCCCTGCCACACCCACTCACTCCCAGTGAATTCCTTGGCAAGGGCCGCCAGCGCTGCCAGTGCTCTATTATCCCCAAGGGCACAAAGTAATTTGTTTCCAAATGCCTGCAGTACCTGGGCCAGCAGGGCAGAAGTGAAACCAAAATTCTAAATAAAAAATAACTGCTGAGTTCCTCAAAGCTCAGGACAGAAGCAGGCAGAAATCCTGCCCAGCCGCTCCTCTGCTCCTCCGAATCTGCCTAGGGGAGGGGCGGGGTCCTAAAAGGCCTGGGAGAGGAGTTCACCTTGGCTCTGCAGACGTTCTCCTTGGGGCCCTCAAGCTGCAGCCAGATATGAGGGTTCTCTGGGCAGTCTTTGGAGAGGATGCTCATTCCCACGCTGAAGATACGCTCCAAGCGAGCCTGCTGCTCCCGAACCTTGTCCTCTGCCACCGCAGACACCGCAAAGCGGTCAGGAGTCGGGGAAGCCAACCCCCAAGTAGACATGGCTTCTTCCTGGGGTCCTGGAAGAGCAGAGGCAAGCTCAAAGTCTCTGTCTCTCTTCAGCCCAAATCTCAACCACACGGCCTACACCCCCACAATCAACAAGTCGCACCTAGTCACAGCAACGGTAAACAACCCCAGGAGGTAGCACTGCCACCTCGGGGGTGGAGAGGTTAGAAAATTATCCACAGGCCTCTCCCGGAAAGGAAGTCCTTCGTAAACAAGGCTATAGGGGATAGACAACTGGCCTCAGGACACAGATGACCACCGCCCAAAGAGGGGGAGTTCCGTGAAGGAGCCTCCAGCTCATTCTGAGAGTCGAGAGTCGTAAGAAGTGGGTGGGTGAGGAAAGATTACCAAAGCTCAGAGGTCTCTGCAAGTTTTGAATAGAAAAGAACCTCTCCAGAGACGACTACTCGCCGGAGGCAGTAACTGTGTAGTCCTGGGAAGGGGGTGCCCTTGCCCAGTGTTCTTTCTCTAGCCACTCCTACCTCCCGCCTCTCTACTCGGAGACGTACGCCGCCAAGCGTCCCACCCAGGACCCGGGGCCTGGCCCGCCCTCCCACAGGCTGCCGTAGTGGCCGCCCCCCAGCCTGATCACCCTCCGGCCGCGGCCTCCAGCTCCCGATCGCCGGGAAGGGGCGCGCCTACCGCCAAAGCCGCGAGTCCCGCTGTTCCTCTAGGGGCCCGGGGTCCCCGCGCTTCTCCCTCACCCCAGGGGGCTGGGGCTGGGGACCCGAATCTGGGAGGGCCTCCTCGGCGTCCCACCCAACCTACACTCCTGTCGTCAAAGCGTTCTGGTTTTGGAGTCACTTCCCGGCCTGGGGCGGAGTCAGACCGGCTCCTCCCCCGCCAGGGCTGCGCTGCCGTCTCCTCCCGCGCCCGCCCTCCCGGGCTCCGCCTGCTGCCCAGCGGGCCAACGACCCGCCCTCCACGTCCCCTGCGGGGCCTACGGGTAGCCAATACTTCTGTCTCCACCCCCAACCCCAGCCCCACCCCAACGCCTCCCGCCGACTCTCACGTTCGCCTCCCGTTCTTGGGGGGGTCCTTGCGTGTTCTGCACAGTTGAAGGTTCCAAGAGGGAAAGTGACTTGCCCAGAGTGACAAGAGAATACTGCCTTTGGCCCAAGCACTTTCGCCAAGTAGATTGTGGGGAAAGATCCAACATTAACAACAACAACAAAAAAAAGATTCTACAGAGAAAGACAGATTGTGAAGAGTTCTGAAAAGGAGAGGATGAGGAAGGAGCTAAAGAAACTTCGTCGTGTGTGTGTGTGTGTGTGTGTGTGTGTGTGTGTGTGTGTTCACCATCATCCACTCTCCGGCCTTCCTGCTACAGAATCCGGCTGGAGCCCTGTGTCCTGCCTCCAGCCTCTTCTCCCTCCCCGAGCCCAACTGCTGTCACTGCGTGCTTTGCCAAGGAGGAGGGAACCGCAGTGACAGCAGGAGTAAGGAGAGGCCAGGCAGAGCTCTGTAGGGAAGGGGCTGCCCAAACTAGGTGACAGACCCATAGGGAGGACAGAGGAGCAGGGCTAGAAGCTCTGAAAGCTTGAAGCAGGGGAAGGAGAGCAAAAGGGAGCCAGAAGACAGGGAAACCTGTAAATACAGAGTACCCGGCAACGATGGGAACTCAAAGGCACAACCACAAGCTGCCCTTGGCCCTGGTGCTTCTGACCCTAGGGGCTGGGTGGGCTCAAGAAGGGTCAGAGCCTGTCCTGCTGGAGGGGGAGTGCCTGGTGGTCTGTGAACCAGGTCGACCTGCTGCAGGGGGACCTGGGGGAGCAGCCCTGGGAGAGGCACCTCCAGGAAGAGTGGCGTTTGCTGCAGTCCGAAGCCATCACCATGAACCAGCAGGGGAAACCGGCAACGGCACCACTGGTGCCATCTACTTTGACCAGGTAATACCCTTGCCCCATGCAGAGGACCTGCGAGGACCTGGACTCTACCGTCCAAGCCCACTTTGCAGACCTCGGACTTCAAGAAAGCCATTTCCTGCATCTCTTGGCACACCTTCACCAAAGATGGCCACCGACTGCTGTCCTTCACTCATACACACAACCTCTCTTCGCCATTTCTCCTAATCTTCGAATCCACAGATTCCCTTCGCACTTGCTTGCTACCCCTTTTGTCCTTACCCATTGCCCAAACACCAACCGCAGTGACGCATGCGCCTGAGCCCCAGGCACCCTGGATCCCACTCAACAGGATCTGCTCCCTGTAGGTGCTGGTGAATGAGGGTGGTGGCTTTGATCGGACCTCAGGCTGCTTCGTGGCCCCTGTCCGTGGAGTCTACAGCTTCCGATTCCACGTGGTAAAGGTGTACAACCGCCAAACTGTCCAGGTGACCAGAGTATCAGCCCCATCTCCCGGGGAAGGGAGGGTCATAAGCAGACCACAGCACATCGCTGGGCAGCTCTTCTGTTGACCTGTATCCTGGGGACCATGAGCAAGGGAGGAAAGGTCCTGGCTAGCAGGGTATGGCAGATGTGCAGAGCCCAACATGGGCCACCCCTCAGCCCTCACAAGAGAGCCCATTAAGCCTCGGGTTCCCAAAAGGAAGTCCTTGGAAAGATGAGGGTCCTGAGCTAAGGGCCACGAAATAGAAATAGGAGCTAACTGAGCTCCCCTCCTCAGGTGAGCCTGATGCTGAATACTTGGCCGGTCATCTCAGCCTTTGCCAATGACCCTGATGTGACCCGAGAGGCAGCCACGAGCTCTGTGCTGCTTCCCCTGGACCCTGGGGACCGTGTGTCCCTGCGCCTTCGTCGGGGGAATCTTCTGGGTGGCTGGAAGTACTCAAGCTTCTCTGGCTTCCTCATCTTCCCACTCTGAGAACCCAAGCCTTTAAAAGACAGATACTTAGCATCTGGTCTTCTGCCCTGCCCTGCCCTGCCCTGCCCTGCCTTGCCCCAGAAACAAGCGTCTTTGGAGCAAGAGAAAGGCCCCCTCAGGCTGCCTATAGCCCACCTCCTTGCATGAGATCCTATGCCAAACACCCAAGGCTAAGAGCGTAGAAGAACAGAGCTATGGATTTTCTAGACACACCACTCCTCACCCCCACCACTCCAGTTGCCCTCCCAGCCTCTGCTGCCCCGCGCCTGCCTGCAGTTCTGGCTTAGAGCAGGATTGGCAAGAGGGGAGCCTGTACGACTTCACAGACTCCACTCCACTCCTCCTGTTCTCCGCCCTGGCTTCCTGCTCAGTGTTATTTGGTGACAGGTGGCACAGGTAAGCCTGACAGGCTCCCACAGGGACCCAGATGGACCAGCCTCATAGTACCTGCAGCCTCCATCCTGTTAGCAGTTCCAGCATGAGAGATCTCAGCCAGCACCGTACTAACAGGGGCTGACAGCCCAACCATAAAAAGAAGTGTGGGGAGGGCCACCAGAGCATCCGTAGCTGAAGAGATAGGATGAGGGCATGTGCCTACCCTGAACATGGTCAACATTCTGCAAATAACCTGGGACAGTCAGCAGGCAGGAATCCTGCCATCCATCAGTGCCAGGTCCCAATGGACTCTGACCCTCATTTCCTGACTGTGTGTGTGTGTGTGTGTGTGTGTGCGTGCGCGCGCGCGCGCGCGCGCGCGCATTTGCTCTGACCAACAGACAAAACCAGAGCAGGTATACAGAGCTGGAGGCACGGTCAAAGGTCACATACGAGCCATGGAACAATAACACTTCAGTGACCATGTGTCCTCCTTGGCTAATTCCTAAAACTGCCCCACCTTTTGAAATCTGAGTTTCGGTCACTCCCCACTCTTGCTGACTTCCTCCAGCTGTCTCTCAGCTACCTTCTCTGCACCTACAGCCTGTCCCTACTGGTGATCACTCTTCCTTCAATCCATACGGTCTTATTCTCCTTCTTAAGTTTCCTGTTACTGAGGAAGCCATGATTCGTCCCTCTAGCTGCTCTTCCTCCAGCGTCAGAAACCCTCTTTCATCTGTTGTATCCATTGTCCCAGTGGTCCAGCATGAATGGATCTGTCTGGAGAACTGTGGTCGGCAAGACCTGGACTTCTCACTTTGGTGAGGATGCAGTTTGGAGCAGGCATTACAGGATTGGAGCACATATGACTTGTGGAAGAGAAAATGTCAAATTTTTAAAAGGCTATAATAGTCCTCAAGTTAAATAAATACCAGGACCAAGGAGCAAGGAGAAAGGGAGGGAGGGAGGGAGGGAGGGAGGGAGGGAGAAAGGCTAGAGGTGTAGCTCAGAGGCACCAGGTTTGAACTCCAGCGCTGGGGTACGGGGTGGGGAATGGGTAAGAAAGAGGGGGGAGCATTTTCCTTCAGCATTTGTCGTATAGACCAGGAAGAATAGTTTAAACAAGGTAAGAGATCATACTGTCTCACATGGAAGAGTCTGCAGCAGGGCAGGGAGTCCAAGATGAACAGCTGCTCACAAAAGCCCAGGCTCCCTCTTTGCAGTTCTGTTGTCCTTGGCATGACACCTTGTGGCCCAGGACGGCTTCTTGAGCTTCAACAACTACATCAGCCCAGCAGCCCTGGATAGGAAGAAGAAAGAACCCGCTCCTTGGAAGGTTTTCTGACAGCTGCGTACACCATTTCTGAGTGCATCTCCTTGCCAGAATATACTCACACCATGCCAGGACAGACTAGGAAACAATCTTAACTTTTTGCAGTAGTGTGTGTGTGTGTGTGTGTGAGAGAGAGAGAGAGAGAGAGAGAGAGAGAGAGAGAGAGAGAGAGAGTCAGAGGACAGACAACCTTGGGTTCCTCGCCTCCCACCATGTTTGAGATAGTGACTCTAATGTATCATTGTGTACTCCAGGCTAGCTCATCTGGAAGCTTCTAGGAATTCTATCTTCCCCTAGGAGCACAAGGATTACAGATGCATGGGCTATGGCCAGCTCGTATGTGGATTCTAAGGTTATCAGGCTTGCACAGAAGGTGTTCTAACCCCTGGGCCATCTCCATAGCCCATAGACTTTACTCTAGGGGACTATGTCCAGCTAAAAGTAAGGAAGAAAAGTAATTGAACATTGGAAGATTTTCAAGATACAGTAGACTAGATCAGCTCTTGCAAACACCACGTGGCTTAAGACGCTGTTCATTTATTGCCGTTTCTGTATGTCAGCCGTCTCGCAGAGTGTGACTATTCTCTGATCGAGGTTTCACAAAGTCAAAAATAAGGTGGAAGGCAGCAGCCTTCCTCACTAGAAGGGAAGAAGCCACTTCCAAACTCTTTTTTAATCCAGCTCCTTAGAGTTGTAGCGCTGAAGTCCCCAGGCTTCTTCATTTTCTAGCCAAAAGCTCTAGGTCCAGTCCCA